GGCGTGGCCATTGTGGCGGACTCGGATGGGGGGTGCCTGGCTTGTGGCTCTGGCTTGTGATTGGTCAATAAAGCCTGTTCTGTTGCACTGGTCTTTTTCCTATTGGGGTTCGGGTATTCTACATTGGTGGCAGCGGACGCGTTCGAATTACGCGAATCGTACCCTATCCCCTTCTGTTCAGTGGTCAACAGGGGCAAAGACCTTTGAATGCCAGCTGAAATTGTCATGGCGGTCATCCGATGTCCAAAAAAGTGGATCCATAGACATTGCACGGGATTACTACTACTGCATCTGAAGAGGCATTGGACACTCAGCGACGACGACTTGGACAGTGAAAGCCAGCTGGACTGCATTTGCGAATGGACCTTCGATGGATGATGAGCCACAGTGTCGTCCGATTAGGGCGCAGACATGTTGGACCACCTGGCCGCAGCCAATCCCGTGTCTCTCTGCGATCCAATGGCATGCGGGAAAGGAGGGCAGCCAACCAGAGAAGGGCATGGATGAGATGCAGTATATAATGAGCGGTGTGGCCAGCGTGGCGGACTCGGATGGAAGGCGCCTGACGTGTGTTTCTGGCTTGTGATTTGCAGTTAAAGCCACTGCTTGTGTGTTCTACAGTTTGTGCTCTAAAAAGCAGTATCAAAGTTGTAGCAACACCATCCAGTATCAATATTTACATTCGAATAAGCTGGCCGAATTTTTTTTTGATGCCACCTACTAATGCTATCATTAAAAATGGCGTCATTTTAATCTATTTCATATTTAATGAAATTTAGTTGGCATTTTTTCGAAGATTGATATTTTCACATCTCCTCTTGTAATCCGTGTTTGTACACTTGGATTTGTAAACCATTACCACAGTCCGGATACGCGAACTCTTTTATCTTGCGCTTATGCTGATCAAATGCTAATTTACTTAACCTTACACTTGTGCCGGCTTTATTTCAACCGCGGTTACTTTCTGCAAGTTTAAAAATATCCAATATTTTTTCATGCTAGCCCATCTAGGCCTCAAATCCTTTTAGTGTCCGATCTGTACATTCAGATGCATAAGCACAATAAATAACGCACAACGGTATATTCTATGTCGAAGTTTGCCTTCCTGTTTACATTTTTGGCAAAACCAACTGTGAGTACTGCAGCAACAGATTCTTTTGTTTGTCTCGGTATGTTAGAAAAGCTCTAAACAAGGTACAATCTGTAAAAATAAAAAATTTTTTTAACACGAAGTTGTTTTAGGAAGAAATTCTACCTACGCTTGATAAAAATTTCAAAATGTAAATTTTAGGAAGCCATGTTCACATTCTTTTTGTCACGCCAAAGACTTTAATTTATTTCTTTAGGCTCTAGGAACGACGATTATCAGCGAAATTATAAGTTAGATATTCATCTCAAATTTTTTGACAAAATTAACTGAAATGCTAGCGGTGGCAGTCTTGTAAACTTATTCAGCGGACACTGCGTGAATAGATGTTTACAAACCACCTGAAATGTATAGACATTTTTCCTGTTACATTATACCAAACATAATTACCCGACGACGGCTTTCTAACAAAATTATCACGCCTTAGTTTTGCCTAATAAAGAAATCTGAATTATTGAAGCCTTAATGAAAAACTCTTTGGCTTTAATTGGGACGGAAACCTTAAGTCCTAAATTTGACAAATTCTAAAGGTTTACTTCATTCCATTCACATACTTTTCTTCCAAAAAGTATCCTATTTCACTGAATTTTGCATTGTACTTCAACGAGTGAACCGAAATTTGCCTACGTAACATTTTTACTTCGCAATAGTTTTTATTAATAAAATAATTTAAAAAATGATTTGTCACCCAAACCGACAAAGTAAAATAAGCGACAAAATTACTCGTCGTTTCAAAATCGATATACATTGAAAATCAATTTTATTCTTGAAACACTGTGGGATTTCTCATTAACATGAATTGTTGGTCTAAACAAGATGCCAATACCTTAACATAGTGCATTATGATAATGCAGTTTTGCGCTTGGGTAAAACATTTGATTATTCATTATGTGAGATTCGGATATCGACCATCAGCAAAACTATTAAACCTGCATCAGTTTTTGTCTTCCATTAAAATAACAAACACTTATGGTAATTTGTATAATGTCTTTACTGTTAAGCATTTGCACGCCATGCTGTGGTCATATGGGTCATGAATTTCAACCCAAGAAAAAATTTCGTCGCGAATAAAGCTTTCCATGTCTTAATTTGATATACCAATGTAAGTTTTGAATATGAACATTGTGATTCTAATCTACATTGAATTACTGCTTATAGATTTAGTCAATGCACATTCATTTCATTAAATAGCGATGATCTCCAAATTGGTACATATTTAAAATGAGCTGTGTTTAATAAAAAAAGGCTACATCCATTTTTATTGTAGGTACACCATAGCCCCTTTATCTCAAAAATAATTACTTAGTTTTATTTCATTATATTTTGGTATTAAATTCATTGAGAAGACTTGTCTAGGTGAGTTATTTGAAAAAAAGTTGAGATTCACGCAAATGCAGTAGCATTCAGCTGGAAATTGGATCCGACATGTGCTTGTTAAAGACATTTTGTGCATTTGCTCGTAAATTAGTAGAGAAAAAAATATTACAAAACCCTTCGTTTCACAACATATTCTGGAATGAAATTTATAAGTAGTTATAGGTTTCTTGAATAAAGTGCTTTAGTATTTCGCTAGTTCATCAACATCAGGTTTTGGTGCATTTCACTGACATTAGAGAATTTAACTGCTTATAAAATCATTATCCAGTTATGGCTGACGATACCGCAATAATTTTTTTTTTAGAAAAAATTTGGGACGTTGATAAATATTGGGAGAGGTACATCATTCCTAGTTATTGCCCTTAGACTGTAAATCATAGATAATTCATCAGAACTAATAAGATACTTTGATGTGGTTACTTAGTAAGCGATAACTATATAAAGAGAAATTGCTATTAATAGGCACAGTTAATAATTGTAGCAGCTAGGTGTGTGAATGATTACCGAAATTTCGTTTTTCTTTTCGTAGTCTTTTGTTTTTGTTGAACTGCTAATGATTTCGTTTGTGACTTTTAATGCAAGTTTTTTACGTTTAAATGCAATTTAATTTTGTATGCTAGAGTTATCGTAATTAGGAGCTAAGGAAGTCTATATGGTTTCAGGTAATGACCTTGACTTGTTATAATCATTTTGATCCAGCGCGGGTTAGCGATTTCGTTATTTTGCGCGTTAGTTTGTTGCAATACAGAAAGTACGTGAACGAACACGTCTTGATAATTTAGACCCATTTTAATGTGAAAATATTTGCAATAAATGGTTTTTTATCATTTTGCCTTTTATTTTTTTGCAGATTCATCATATTTACGTTTTTGGTTTCTATTTATTCTTTCAGATATTTTTTGCTATATTTTTACGTTTAAATAATAAAATTTGATATTACCAGAAACTGCAGTATTTAGTTATACCTTTAATTTTAACTTTGAGGTCATTTATGCAGTGTCATAGAATAATGGTTTAATGAATATAGCAGTTCCTAGTCTTAAAATGAAAATTTCAGCTTACTGAGACATTGAATTTTTTCCATTACGTTTTGCACAGTTATAAAATTAAAAAAATTTAACGACTGTTGGAATCCATGTGTAAGTTTAGCTACATTTTCCTGGTATTTGAGCATTTGCTTTTTTAGTATTGCGTCATATCTAATAATATGTGAGCAAATATCCGGGAGTTCAGTCGAGTTTTTAATCTTTTTGTGGGAATAATCTAGTTAGGCATAAATGTTCCATAGATCTAATTGCTTGTATTGTTTGTTTTGCTGGTGTTTT